CTGATTTTTTTATTTTTTTTTTCGACATGAACACTCTACTTTGTATAGGTCTGTACTTTGTATATATCTGTCTCAGGTCTTGAGCCACTTGCGGCAGGCTTCTCCGGGTCTGAGTCCGCTCAAGGTAGCTCTCCTCTCGCTGTGGGTGTTGGTGTTCGGTAAGTTGGTCTAGTGCTTTTATTGAAATCTGTCCAGGCTCTGCTAATAGAACCCTGTATAGTTCTAGTCGCCAGGACGGCTAAAACGGAGGTTCTTAGCCGTTCTAAGTTCTATGGAGTCTGTTACGATTTGCGCGTCGATGATGATCAGGCGTCGTCCTATCTTTCCCACCAGATCCGGTATGAGCATTCGGTCCTGGATCTTGATTTTGGGTTCGCGAATTACCTCGAATCCTTTTGCCTCCATGCGGCGGGCCAGGTAATTGACAACCAAATCATGCCTCCAGATCCTCGATCCATGCGTTCGGGCGCATTGCTAAAGGACATGATTTGTCGTCTCTGGTGTGTTGCACCCAGCCCGGCATTGTCGGTCCTTGGTCGCTCGACTGCGCGTAGTTCTTGAACGTGTGGGCAGTGCGTTGATCCTGATGCGCACTGCCTGGATAAAGTCTCGTCCAGTTACCATCTTAGTTGGCTCCTGGATCCATCTGTGTGCGCGCGGTACCTTTTCAGCTTCCCGTAGTCCAGTCTCGTCGACTCTGATATACAGTTGCTCAGCCCATCTCGGTTGCATCTCTCTTGTGGTCCTGATCCGTCCGCCAGGATGCTGCAGTCTGCGTGTTGTTCTGTCTACCTCTACGGCTAGGTAGGTGTTGGCATTGAGGTTGGCCTGGATGTGGGGGAGCTCTATGTTCCTAAGCCTTTTCCAGCGTATTAAGGGGGCTTGCCACCTCATAGATGGTATGCCAAGGCCACCATCCTTGACCGTGGCGTGAAAGTAAGCTGATGGTGTATCCGCTGGAAGATCAAGCCATTTCCTGATTGAGGCTCGGACAGCCCTGTCCGTTTTTCTGAGGCAGCCTATTTTGATGTTAGCCAGGGTAAGCCTATGGAGCAGCCGCGGGAGCAGATATACTCGCAGGATGTGAAGTCGCTGGGACTTCCGCTTCAGCGGGGGGACTTCTGCAGCCGCAAAAGGAGAAGTGTTACCTCCTCTGTCGGCGAGTACTTGACCCTACCATCCGGGCTGAAGGAGATCCCCAAATATTTGAAGGTCTGCCCTCGGACCAAGGACGGCAGAGCAGCACCGCCTATCCGGAAGCTGCGCTGCTCCACGACCGTCACCTTCTGCTTTGGTTACGCCACAATAGGGAGAGTGAGACACTTCGCCGCATTTAAGGTTAATCCGCTGCTGCGAAGGTATTGGTCGTTCTGTTTAAAAGTTCTTGAAGTCCTCGGGGGGTGTTGGCAAGTAGAGTCAGGTCATCGGCAAAAGCAATGGCGTTGATCCGTCCCTCGACAATATTCGCTCCTATAAGTAGGTAATGAAGGTAATGAACGAAGAAGACGATCCACCACTAGGTTGAAGAGCCACGGACTTAGTGGGTCCCCTTGCTTGACCCCGGTCGTCGGACGAATGGTCGTCGAAGCCCAGCCCCCAGCTTTCAGCTTGGTTGTGGCATCTCGATAGGAGTTCGCAACGTAGCTGATAAAGCCAGGATGAAACCCGTAACTCCTCAGTGTGCCCACGATGGCATTGTGCGGGAGACACTGTCGAAGGCCTTGGACACATCCAAGCTGGCTAGGAAGCAGGACTTCAACTTCTCATGTTGGTACCGAAGAACGAGATCAAGAAGAAGCGTATTATCAGCGCATCCATCGGAATTGATGAATGCGCGCTGTCGTGGGTCCAGGACAATTTTCCAAGAGCGCTCGACGCAGACTGCGCTGACGCTCTCAGCCTGAACGACTGGGCGCGATGCAAACGCGACTCGACATCCTCTCAACCTAGAAAGTACCTTAATACATAGCAGATTAAATTTTGGCAAAAAATTGGAAATTTAAAAAAAAAAAAAAAAAAAAAAAATATATTATTATATAAGAATTTTCACGTTCTCATGTAGCTTCTAAAAAGCTTCTAAGGAGAATCGTAAAAGGAAACCTACATCTTACTTCTAGCTAATTAAATATGTTGCGGAGACGAAATATTATTAGAGCATCTTCCATATTTCTCCATATAGCTACTCTTGCTTTACGTCTTTTTGAACTTGTTAGGTATCTGCCGAACTAATTGCAATTACGTGGAATACGTTCCTACGATAACATTTTTCAAAGAGACTTTATAAGACGCTTATATAAGATTGATTCTGGAAAAAATAATCCTCAACTTTCTGGGTAATTGACGCACGACATTATTTATTTCGGATTGTTGATTTTATAGTTATATCTATATCGATTATTGTTTATGCCTTGGTAAAATTCTTATTTTTATTTTATTATAGAAAGTTATACTTTGTTAATAAAAAAATGTAAAAGGTGGCTTAATTTTCAATCGCATCACTAAAAGTTCAAAAATAATGAAATGTATTTTACTACTTACTTTTATATCTTTATCATAAAATTAATATTGCATTTGATACCTTGTGTGTATTATTGCTCAAAATCGGCTGGTCTAAAATTGTTCAAATTTAGCGTGTGTATTTGAAAAGACATAAACCTTTAAAAATATATTTACGGCTTTGCTGTAAAATCAACGGGGAATAATGTTGAACAGTTCAATTTGCATGGGAGTTCCTATGTTTCCAACAACCGATGGATACCCAGTATACTATATTTCGTAAACTTTGATATTGCAGGTAATATTGAATAATTATGTTAGGTTAGGTTAATTGCCGTTACAATTTTATACGGCTTTTGTTTTAAATTTCGGCTGCTGTAGTGTAAATGAACATTTTTTGACATACATATAATTAATGTACTTATTACATGAGATTTTATGACTTTCTTACATTTTGTTGTATTTTTACATTTTATTTTATTGGAAATTCTTTGCACATGAACTTTTTATTATTTATAAACAATATGAATTTTTCTTTGCAAACCAGAGAAAAAAAACTAAATATTTTAAAACTAACTAAACTATTAAACAATCACCATTTTATTTTATTTATGATTTTGTAAAATTATCGCTATTCTTTGCTGATGACTGTATAATATCAAAATAATTTTTTGTTTAGATATACATATTTTATATTTTGAGTTCTGATTCACTGTGTTTGGAACATCCCTAAAATGAAAGTTAAGGTAAATAAATGTTGAATTTTCTTACTTCTTGTTCCCTCATTAGTGAACAATTGTAAACTAATAAAAATTATAAGGCACATTTTAAATTTTATTCGCTGTTTTTTATTGTAGTTGTAAAATTTATATATATACATATATAATAAATATTCATCATATAATAATAAAGTTTTTATCAAAAATATGTGAACTCTACAAATATTAGTTTTTGGTAAAATATTCTGGTATTAAGTTAAAATAACTATTTTATTTTCTTATTGCTAATAGAGGGAGTCTCATTCGCCGGAGATGAACAAGGTTTGGAACAAGATATTGACACTGCATTTACTAATACACCCAAAATTTTATATTTTGTTTAATAAAATAAAGTAAAAAACGGTTATTGATTTTTTTAATCGTTATTCTTATGTGAAAAGCCATCTTATAATAAAAATTTATGCGGGTTTTTATTTATTTTGCTATCCTCCGTGGCCGTTTTAAAGAAGCCTAAGTGGCCGTTTTAAAGAGCGTTTAATTCTCTTTTCAGTGGTATCCTACTTTGTTGCTTTTTATCCAGAGGTTTCCGAATAATCGCCTTTCAAAGTTGCAGAAACAATTAAACATGCCTGGATTGAGATTTTGGTTTTCAAGCTAGTGTTTACACAAAAAATATTGCAATGGGTCTCCTTGCGTTTAAATACAATGGACTTAAGATGTCCCCAAAGAAAGAAGTCTAAGAGTGTTAAATCCTGTGATATTGGAGTCTGTTCAATTGTTCCGCTTCTACCAAACCATGTGTAACAAATTCACCTGTAAAACTGGATTACCCTCTACATCGTGTCTTCGCCGTGATGCAATAAAAAGTTGTTTGCTTAAGGAACGTAACATGTAAAACGCTGTATTCAATAAAATATAGAATAAAAATAAATATTTATGACACAAATATTTCAAAAGATTTATGAATAATTTTATGATATTTAATTTAGGAACAAATAATAAAAGCAACAAAATTAGCCCTGTAAGAAATAAATTGGATCAAAATCTTTGTCAGTAACTGGCTCGTTTGTGATGTAATGGAATTAATAGTGAGGGAGACAGAATGAATATTTTAAGAAAATTGAATATTCAGATTGAAAGCTACGAAAACAACTTGTTTTATGTGTGCATAATCTAATAAGAGCGGATAACTTTTGTCAGTTGATTATCTTTAATTATCTAAGGCGTCAATCGTTTTATTGTAATGACGAGCAATATGAAATTTCTAAATTTAACGATTATTATTTATTTCAGTTTTATCGTGCGGGGTGTCGTAATTTTATTATATCCAGTATTGTGCATAGCTTTTGTTTAAACCTCATATAAGTTATTATCGCTTAACGTTTTTTTCTACCAATCTTAATATTCCAAGTTATGTCCTTCAGAGGGCCTCTCACCAAGCAACTTATTAATATATTACATATTGTTACGGTTCAAAATTTCACCGGAACTTATTTTACTTATTTTGCTTATTTTTAGGAATAAAACTAAAACTTACTTGAATAACTTGAATAATAACGTTTAATTAGCTTACTTCTTAACTGTACATATAATTTCTAATAATATCTTATCTATAAGTTTCATCATCACAACAATTTCTTTGGATGGAGTTATCTCCGATAACTTTAATATAAAACCTCTTTAATATAATATCAATTTGTCTGTTTAAAACCTACCTTTCTTTCTACAGTGGTTACTAATTCTTTATTTAGACTTCTGCTTGTGTTAGGATAATTTCATGGCATATTTCTTCGGAGGATTCCTGAACATAGACTTGATGTGATTATCTTTTGTCTGTTTTCAACGCAACAAGTGGGAATGTTGGGTCTGCAATATACATATGGGTTAAGGATTTTATTATGTATTTTTCCTGTGTGTAATCAATTGATTTTACCTGATTATAGTTGATTTTTCCCTAAATTTCATCTTGTTTATATTACGATTTACAGACTGACGTTTCAATTGTTTGTCAGCTGATCGTGTGACACCGGCGTTGAAGGTTGACAGATCGATCTTTATATATTAGGTTTTCGATCTTTTAATCGGTTCGAACGGTTCTTTTAATCGGTTTTCCGATCTTTTAATCGGTTCTTCTGCTTCGAACCGCCGTGGTAAATGCAACAGCATTTCTGATAATTACTGACCGATAAAAGCTCCATTGAAGTTTTTTGGCCTTGCCTTGCCGTTCCGAATTGGAATTGATTCTTTGGAGTTGTTTGGAATTCTTTTGTGGGTCGAGAAGACTGGTTGTGCAATTTTGGCACTAGTTGTCGGCGATTTTGGCCTGTGTGTGGTTCGGAATTCTAGAGAAGCCTTGTAGAGGGATATATTCGTCAGTTGAGGACACGATTTTACAACACGGATTGTGTGTGATGGTCGTACGAGATGAGCACGAGGACTTTTAAAGAACCCTTTTCCATAGAGTAACGTGTAGCGACGCCATTTTGTTTTGGAACGTTCACATGGTGGAAAGGGTTTTTTCTTTTCCTTTGTTGTACTCTTTTAGAGTCGAATGATTTAGCTTAAGATTTTATTCTTTGTACTGGATTTGGTATTGCAACTAATGCCACTGTGATGAGGAATACCACTGTGACACTGAAGACCAGCAATCTGGATTTTCTCATGGACTGACTGGAACGACCACTGGATAACAGATAAGACTTTAATCATCTCTTATTTTATTGCGTTTATGATTGATTAAACTTTATTACATTTAATTTACGATCGTATGTGAACTTGGTATACCAGGGGATTTTTACATTTAAATTTCATTTTATTCTTTATAGTTCTTTAATTATAATCACAATTACGCATCAGGGTTGTTCACAGTTTAGTCACAACAATATTTTGTGATACTATTCGTGGTTTGGTAATTTATTTTACGGATAGTTCACTTTTACAAGAATATTTTATTAGTATATATATATTTCATTATTTCTTATTTAAATATTTGCTACATTTTATGATAGCTCTTGACAATTTGTTTTAACTTTAAATTTAGTATTTATTAAACGAATCCAGTACATTTTAGACTTTTCAATCAATACACTTTTTCCATACACCTCCCTTTTGATATCTCTTGTTCTCTTGAGCTAGCTGGAACCTATTTGTAACGGAGCCTTGTGAACCTGAGTTCCCGTTATAATACACTACAGAAAAAATAATATTACAAAATATTTACAAATTTAAATGTAGTTTCTTAAACCGCGCCTGCACTATGCGAAAAATTCTTCGAAACATGTCAAGGTCACATTTCTTCGTCCAACTTTGACGCATTTCGATTTATTTCCTTGTCTTGGCCCACTTCTTTTTGCCTCGACCTACTTTCGATTCTTAAAAGCGCCGGAAACTACTCCTGAGGAAGGCGTGGGGTTATTTTTTTGGCGCCTCGTTCAATTTTGTTTTGATCTATTTCAAAACGTAACGGTATCTGTCTCCGAGGCAAAGGACTTTTTTTCATAAATCTCAGTGAAATAAATTAACCTAGACGTTTCTAAAATAGCTGTTACGGTGATATTTCGTTAATTACATCTCGTTTTATGTTATATTGATGTATATTCCAGAAGACAAAATTAATATTTCAACACGCGTTTATTATATGTATAGTATATATTTAGAACAAACTTTTCATTACAAAGTTAAGGCTACAGTTATATTGGACGCCTATGAGCACGATCGAAAAACCGAGGAGGCTCTGAGAGAGAGAGAGAGAGAGAGAGAGAGAGAGAGAGAGAGAATTTATTTAAAAAATGTGTATCTCATAGCAAATTTACTTAATAATTAGATAAGTTATAAATCAGATAAAAAAGTAAATTTACTTATTCCTTGGAAATTTATCTTTTAAAATCACCATCTTCCTTTATTATTACTACAGAGTCACAACAATTTAAAACATTTTATTATAGTGAATTTGCAATTACTTTTGTAAATACAATACGTTATAAAGCGTTAGTAAATATTAATAAATAATAGAACACGTGTTATAATATTATAATATTTACTATAAAGGTTAATAAAAAATCACAAAACAGAACTTATGCATGTAAGAAACACAAGTTCTGTGAATATGTCTAGAGTCATGCAATTTTACTACAAGCTTGTATTTCTGATTAAAATTTAATTTTTAAACTCACAAAGCTCATTGTGAAAATAATATCGTTCAGTAATAATCATTTAAAATTATTAAGCTGTTTTGTAAAATTACTTTTTTTGTTAAACTATGCGAAAATATCTTATTCTTACAAGTTTCTTATTAAAAATACTCTAATGTATCAATTTTTTTTTGTAAAATTACTTATATTTTTTCAGTGTATTAGTGTGTATTTATTCTTCTCTAGATTGAGTTTTTATTAAGACTATATCGTTTTATAGGCAATAGTTTGTTTTATTTTTATATTTACTTTCCACTGCAGCTTGCAGTTGATACATTTAAAATTATTTTTCAACAATTATTGTAAATCTCTAAATAAACTGGCATATATCTATAAACATATTGCAAAAATTTGGGGAAAAAATAAAATTGGCCCTTTTAAACTCGTCTAGAAATGCATTATTATACGGAAAAGCGTTTTATTTCTCGGTCTTATCGAGCGTCGTATCACCTTTAATAAGGCTAATGGAAAGAATCGATAAAATAAATCTTTCCATGATTTTGATACGGTTTTTCCTTTAAGAGACTGTCAGCGGCGAAACGCCACCCAACCTCGAAGAAATTTCGACATTCAGCAAACGCCCGAACGTTTCCCCAAAGTTTCATTAATAATCGTAAATTTCCGTTGCTGGCGGATAAGTTTAATCCCTTGAATCTTGCTCCTTCTTTGACCGGATTTGCACGACAAGCTCGATTATTATTACCCTATCGCATCTTTTATACTCTCTCTTGGAGCCGATGCAGTTAGTTTCAAAAATATAGTTGTTTAATAAGCAATTCTACCGAGTCTTCTAGAGATCCTCTCATTTAGTCGATGCTGCTATTTAAAAGTGAAGTTATGTTGTAGCATTTTTTATTTCCTTTAATAAAATTGAATTTAAAAATCTATTTTTATTTAAATTTCTTAGTATTGGCGCCATCTATTTGCTAGATGCCAAAGATACCAAACTCCATTTGTTACAGCTCACTTGTCTCGATATTTAATTTTTATTAGCGCATCTATTCGCTAGATGTCAAACTTCATCTATTACAGTTCACTTGTCTTGTTTATTAGCGCCATCTATTCGCTATATGCCAAACTTCCTTAATTGCATTTTCACTTGTCCGAATCTCACTTCGCTGTGGATTGCGATTTTCTGTTCTAATGATTTCGAATCATGCATCCCTAGAAGAAGGTCTTTTTTCTGGGAATTTGGATCTGAAGAAGACGCGTGTTTCGGCGTTCGACAAATTTTCCAATGAAAAGCACTCTGAATCCACTTTTCGATTTCCATTGCATGGGTATCCGATTTGGAAATTTGAAAACCTTGTAAAGTATGCAATCCAGAGTAAAGATCGTATTTGTTTGGTTTCTTCTTGGAATGATCACCGTAAGTTTATCCGCCATTTTATATAGCCCTATCTAACTAAATTCTATTTCAGTTATTTCCGTTCTTTATTTCGTTTATTTGAGTATTTAATTACTGGTTTGGATCGGCATATGATTTGAATATATTTATGTAAAGCTGATTTTCAGACCGTAAGTTATTCTTTTTATTGAGTATCTGTCCTGAGAACTATTTTTTATTTATAGAGTAACTACCACATGGTACTCAGTAACTACCACATGGTACTCAGTAATTACCACATGGTATGCAGTAATAATGCAGTAATTATTGTATGTTTCACCCACTTTCATTTTGTATGGACCTATGCAGACCTTAAGACAGTGTTCCTCACATTACAATCGTTCTTTTGGCTGATATCGAAGACTTCTCCTGCCATAGTCATCTGCATCCACTTCTGTCAGTCTGGAGAATACCTACATACCTGTTTACATCATAAGAAACTATATACAGATAAGTCTCTCTCTTAAGTTTGATACACAAGGTACGCTTTTATTTTATAATTTTTGAGACAACAGATTTAATAACCTGGTAAATTATCACTCTTTATCCCACATATTGTAGTCAAAATTATTTTTTATTTAAAGTTATAAGTTATAATTTGATTCGTACAGTACACTCTTACTTAGCTATGATATTTTATATGAAAATTATTAACACGTATTCATTTTAAAGGTTTTTGTACACGACATGTTTCGAAACATCATCGTATTGAGACATACATAAATTTCACCTGTTTTTAGATTAAGTAGCTTACTTAGTTCAAAGAATACAGTTACTAAATTCAAATCTATTTAAAATAACTTGCGGTTTTATTGGGATCACTGTGACTAATTGATGATACTTGTGTTCGTTTTCAATAAATGTTTAATGTAGGATAGTTATTTCTGACTTTTATTCCTGATAAACATAATAGACCTTTAATGCTGTTGATTATTTTATTTGAGCTATGTTGTGATATCGTATTTTTATTTTTGGTTTCTTACTTTACCACTCTCATAAACAAAGTAAGTGGCGCCCTTTTCACTGTCTTTGACCATACCTATTTGAATTCTTAACATCAATATTAAAATCTCTGCAGCCTATATATTATCATTTTTTTATTTTAATATTTAGCAACATTAGAAAGTCACTGAGTCAGAAGCCTTACCTACGAACCCAGCTTTCCTCTAACCCTGAGCAACGGATTCTTTTTTCATTCTATTTGGGTAAAAACAGAAAAGTCGTCACAATGTAGTAAAAAGATACTCTATTTAATTCTAAATAGGCTACTACCTTCTCCAGCAAGGGTCGGCAGCCTACCTCTAGACTCAATAAGCGACACAAGCTACCGTTTTGTCTACCCGGCCTGTGTCAACCAGGCGGGCTAGACGATCCTCGGAGAGAGGGTCTTAGCGGAGCAGAAGCACGGAGATACCTCCGACTGCTCCACAAAGGACTCGCTCCAGAGGAAGCAAAAGCG